TATCTATCTATCTATCTATCTATCTATCTATCTATCTATCTATCTATCTGTCTTCTGCTCTACAGCTCTTTTGTTGAACCCTGGCCGCTTTTTCAGTTTATTAATCCTATGCACATTCGGTAGGTGTCCTTGAACGGGGGATCAGCTCGACGCAAAACCTCTATCTACACATAGGACAACACAAACACTGAACAAATGCACAGAGATATCCATGCCTCGAATTGGATCCGAACCCACTGTCCCATTGTTCGAGAGGGCGAAAACGGTTCATGCCTTCGACCGCGCAGTCACCGTCAGCTGCATTCTCGACTCTGGTCCAGATATATCAATGGAAATATTATAGAATTAGATTATCAACTCACCACGTTTCAGAATAAAATTTGAAAATACAGACCAGTATGTCGTTACAGAATATTGGGATGTGTGGAAAGGAATGATGGATGTGTCTTCTGATTCCAATAACATAAAAATTAATTGTGTTTTTCCGATGTCCCCATTCAATAACAGCTTCACGCGAATCTAGCTGCAGGACGTAAAATTCAATAATTGTTTACGCTGACGTAGTAGCAATGTATTAGTGTTCATATTAACGTTGTTAGCCTAGTAGTAATATCCCATCAATAGCGGAGTTGGAAATTGATAGCAGCGCTGTATTTAGGCGAACTGACATTGTAGGGAATGCAATAACAGTCGATACTAACTTCAGTCTCTTGTTTCTGCCATTTTGTTTTTGCTGTGTGGGTGCTGGTTGTATCACTGTGTCTCAACGCATGGTACACGGACCTATACCGGCCTGCAAATTATTTTTTTTGGTTATATGACAAAGATTGAGAGTGAAGCGTTGGGTGATAAAATTATTAATGAGAAGTGTAGTAGCTGGATTGAAAATTGGCAGGGGAAACCGAAGTACAGGGAGAAAATCATCTTAATTCCACTTTGTCCACCCGAAATCCCATTCATTTTGGCCTGGGATTGAACCCTGGCCGTCCGCAGTGGGAATTTGACGATTAATCACCTGAGTTGTGGTACGGCCGCGACATTTTATTTGGAATCATATTTTTTACAGGAAAGACTAAATTCGCTAACAAGGACTCCATAGTGTAATTCTTTGTAAAGAAAAGTCGAAAATATTACACAACATGTCCTGAGATGACCACTTTCGGAGATACACTTTACCATGAAATGGGGTAACATGCTACTCAGTAGTGTTGTTTTCATCACGAAACAGAGCGCGTTGCTGGGTGTACTCAAGACGCAGTAGGGGTCTGTTGTGAAGGAATGAACGTGGGATAGGCACACAACGGACACTGCGACAGGCACTTAACCCTCTGTACCTGTAACAGCCCAGCTAATACTACTGCGCCTGTATACGCTCTAAGGCTAGGAACACCCGAAGCGACATCGGTCGTACGGAAAAATGTCGTACGATTCTTTTGCCGTACGACCTCTTTTTCACATTAGAGCGACCAGATACATTTCTTTGCTCACCGACTGCCGTACGGTAGATGTCGCATGTCTTCACGTATGAAAGCTAAGACTACACTTTATATTCTACTACTTGATACGACATGAACCGTACGGACGTCGTACGACCACTGTCGCTGTGTGTGTTCCTGGGACGGGAATGCGTTCCGACGATCGGAGCAGCGTCTCCCTGAGACAGGAAGTGTAACGACACACGTGAATGCATGTCGCCCACGGAGTATGCAGACACCAGCCAATGAAGATGCTTTAATTGCAGCCATGGAGAGGCTCATATGGTATCGCAGGAGAATTGGGACTTTTCCATTTCGAGGCTCCTAGATGATCTTCATGATGATTATTGCATACATGTCAACACTCAAAAAGGGCACGTCTCTTCCCGGATGATCTTCCTGTGAATGGTTACAACACACTGTGGATTCGTTCTTTTTCTCTTTAGTATTCTACAGGCAGACGAAGCATGATAGTGTGTTAATAGTCCACAGCAGTTATCCTGGGCACGGGGTAATTCTCATGCTAGTCGCGGACTTTCAGGTGCAGAACACATAAGGGAGCATATTTATGCAATCCCTCCTAGGACAGTCTTAAATCTCGTGGCAATATTTGAGACAAAGATATCAGAATATATGGAACAGGTTGGCGTAGAGGTAATATTTTTCACTCGTATTTGGGATGTGTCGGATTAGTTTCGACCGGGACACCGACCACCATGATTGAGGTTTTCGTGCTTTTCCTCAGTTCCGAAATCACTCCACGGCCGCTCTCTTTAAAATAATTTTTAATTTTTCATTCAACAGTCATTCCATTGCCCGACACTACGATATGACCTAGATACAGAAGGCATAGTAAAATTAACCACCATTACAACGAAAATGTCAGCTATTTAATGTCAATTCACGCCCTTGATGATGACCTCCAGAAAGTCGAAACGTGTAGAAATAACGCAACATAAACTGTAAATATTATACTGGAAAATCTATTTCTTCTAATTAATGCAGTTAAGACTGAATTTCATCTACACTATATTTAATAATACAGTCCTTACCTCAGAGGAAACACATCACATCTCCGCTACGCAGATCAACAGGTTAATGCTGTTTAGGAGAAAGTCTTTGTGTACTACGAGAAATATACGAGACACACAAACACTCACTGTGGGGAGAATACAGATTTTTAGTATTAATTTATCCTCTGGGCTTTAAAGGGCTAATTGCTTTTGACGATAGGTAATGTAAGGTAAAGCTGTCCCTGTAGCAGACAGCAGAGGCTCATAGATTTGTGAGACGTCGAGGCTCCCACATTTTTGTAATGATCGGAAACTGGGTGGCGGTGAGGTCAGCCTAATGCGCCGGCCACTCTCTCTTCCATGGATGATTCCTAGGACTCATTTCTGAGCCGACCCAAGGGTCAAAGTGCGTCATGAAGGATTGGGTCAATTGAAAAAATCCACCACATCGGGAATCGAGCCCGTGACCTTGCGACTTTTAGCATAGTGCCTCAACCAACTACGCTACCGCGCGAACTCGTTTATAATTGACGATTTTAGGATTATTTTTAGTCTAGCTGTACGTCGACCATTCGAGGGGTCCTTTCATAAAGCGTTTCCAAGTTGTTCCTCACAGCTTCACTGAGGCCAGTAACGCAACTAGCCTAAGAGCAAAAGGAGAAAGTCTGTTTTATGGCAAAAACCTGTTTCCCATTCCCCGAAACAAATCGGAGATGTGGACAAACTGCAGTTCGTTCCCCGTGCTGCAGAATATGACATGCGGACGTCAATAACGCCGGAGCAGTCACGTGCCGAAGAGTACAGCTCCCACGTGGCCGCTACTTTCCGGCAGCATCACTGGAGCACCTCCTTCTGGCACTTGTCTCAGACAGAAGTCGTCGCCCATGATACCGTTGGTTCCTTTTCCCTCCCCGTGGGGCCACCGCCTGGTCGTAAACTCCTCTTGACACTCGACTCTTCCTCGTCTGCAGAAGTGTGCATGGCCTACCGGCAATGATGTCCTGGGAGCAATAAAACTTCTTGCGCAAATATATTTCTTTTTCTCCAATTTCTTTTCTGGATTTCTTATCACCAAGCTACTGCTTCTCCTGTCCCTTCTACGTTTTTATTTTGGGTCGCATTGTTTTATTTCATTTCACTTTCTCCTGATCATGTGACCTAGACCTAAATTTCTTTTAAGTTCTTTTATGAATATTAGATCAAAAGCAATTGCAGGATTTGAGGTTTTCACAGCTGTGGCTATGAGGTGTTCTATTTTCTGAGATATAATTCTATTAACTCCGTTGAAAGTCAGTTCACTTTTCGTAGGTCTACATCTCTTCCATCTTCAGGATTGAAGATTAAACCAAGCAAGAAACCACTATGGAGCAGATAACAAGCAAGCCTCTTGAATATTGAAATGGATGCGAAAGAAATTCTTTGTATGTACGTGTGTAGGTTATTGTAATTCCTGTGGCCGCGTTCCATATCCCTATTTAACACATAAGAAAACAAGTTCGTTTACCGCGTATTTACTTAACGCGCCGTTCTGGAGGAATCTAATTTCCGTTCAACGAGTTTTTACTGTATTTATTCGGAACGTTTTTGTGTCTCTGCTATTAGAGAGTCATATTTTAGGTTGTAATAAGATTCAGAGTAAGAATAATCAGTATTTAAACACAGATAAATATAATAAACATGGGGCAAGCGGTAGCGTAGTTGGTTGAGGGACTACGCTACAAGCCGGAAGATCGCGGAATCGAGTCCCAATGAGGTCATTGGAATTTTTTCAATTTACGTAATACTTCCAGCCGCACTATGGCCCTAGAGTCGACTCAGCCTTTAACAAAAATGAATACCAGGAATCTTCCTGGAATGTTCTTGGGGGTAAAGGGCGGCAGGCGCGTAAGGCTGACAACCTTACCGCCATCTATGAGCCGATTGTCTAGAAAATGTGGGAACCTCAACATCTCACAATCCTATGGGTCTCCACGGCCTGTTACAGCGATAGCTTTACCTTTTTACTTTTCTTTCCTAAATATAATAAAGAATATCCACAGAATTTAAGTTTCTTCAGCAAACAAGCGAATTCCATTTTCAAGCAACTAACACAATTTACAGATATTTTCACGCCTATCTCGCTGAATATCAAATTGTATGGAGATTACCTCGAGCCGCAGAGAGTCTGGTCCTTGTTCTGCGCTATCGGACCGTACTCTTCTGTGTTTTTATATACGTGTACTTCCCAACTGCATTGTTTCCTTTCGCCTTTATGAAACGCTGGACAAATAAACGTACGAAATACAGTGGGGATATTCCAGGGTATATCTTTTTATAGTTACGTTTTATAATTTTGGGAAATAAAACTCATTTTCTTGCATATTGTTATGATATTAAAGTCGATTTCATTTAAATTTGTATTTAATTTTGTCATTACCGTGTTTCAGTTGTATTCATTCCTGTCTTGAACTTTCACTTCCATGACATAGCACTTCACAAGCCTCCCAGGTATGGAGCGTTATACAGTGCAGAATGGACTTGAAGAGTGACGGAGGAAGAAAATCACTTAGCAGCTTCAGAACTTTAACTTCACATCTGTTACTGTGATTTACCTTACATCAGTAAGGCTGGAATGGAGAGGGCAGAGAGTGTGCATGGAACAAGTGAGAAATCCTTAATTTTTTATTTATCCTGCGTTACGAGGGAGAGTCAGTTAATAGGTCACAAATTGAAGTAAAACAACTCTAATGGATTTAATAGTTTATATATGAATCACTAGGTAGCAGACGCTCATGCGCATGTTTAGAGGCTGGTTTTAGTAGTCAAAATGGCGACCGTGCTTGGCGATTCTACTACCGAAGAATAGCGTTTTGTTTCAAGTTTCTTTCGACAAAAGGACTCAATGCAAAGGATTTTCATAGAGAAATATTTCCTGTTTACGGTGGGAAGTGTTTTTCGCATAAAGTGGTTCACAACTGGGTCAAATTCTCCCAAAGATGTTTAAATGTCGCAAACAATGCCCGACCAAGTGCGAAAACGGCTGAGACATCAAGCAGAAGACCTCTATGCTGCGGATTTCGAAGCATGGGTAAAGTGATAGGCCAAGCGTGTTGCCATTTGTAGGGAGGTAGGCGTGACGAAATGACGGGTTCTAGTTCGGATGATTGGGTTTATTACCAGCTTTGTTACGCACTCTTTTAATTACACTCATATTAGAGCGCCATCGTATTGCTGATTCCCCATGTGTTTTACATGTCCACCCAACCTCATTCTCCTTGCTTTGATCATCCCAGTACCGTCTTACGAACAAGATTCATTGTAAAGCTCTGCATTAAGCAATGTTCCCATCCTGTGTTATTTTCCTGTTTTCAAACAGCGTTCCCTTCTCCGTAAGTTACAGGCTGGTTCTAGTGCCCACCCAGCCTCCTTCTCAATGGGAGTTCGGGACTCCATCTCCGGGGAAGCAGCGGTGGCCTGAAGACAACCACGCACATCCATCTAGTGCTGATGACAAGAATTCTTCAGCTGTGCCTTTCTCCTTCACAAGCTCACATGGCATAGTACGTAATTATATGACTGAATGCAGGAATAATGTTATTTATAGCTTAGCAAAGGCCTGTAAATTTGAAAGGTAAAATTGTCTCTGTGCTTAATTAATTAAGATTCACTTCATGTGTTCGTATGGGGGAGATGAAGACTGTCGGAAATCGAACCCCGGCTGTTCAGCCTCTAGCTTATCGCTATACTGACTGAACTATCCCGGCTCAAGTGGCACTTATAAATGTAAAATCATGTTTCCGTTTCTATGTTGTTTTATTTGTGTGGAGATATCAAATTTTACTTTCCTTCTTGTGTTTTGATTCGGGTCTACCCATACCTGATTGCTTGAACTAGAGGGCCCAGTTCATGTCCTCTCTAGTATTCGTATTATTTTTTATTGCTAGTGTGGTGGGACTAAGTCCCTTGTACTGCGGCCACTTCTGGCCTATTGTACCAGCCCCAGATGATACGTGAGGGTGATTGTGGAGCAATTGGTGGAACGAAGATTGGCAAGGGAAACCGAAGCACTCGGNTGTCCTAGTGCCACTTTGTCTACCACAAATCCTACTTGACCAGACTCGGGATCGAACCCGGGCCGCCGCGGTGGGAAGACAGCGACTAACCTCTTGAGTTATGGGGCGGCCCTATATTCGTATTAAGTTAACGATCAAGATTGTTTACTTTCCCTTGCAGTTCCTTCTGAGGGATATGTTGGTACTGCAAGATCACTTGAATCTATAGTTGACCGTTTTCAAAAGACTGGAGTTTGCTTCAAGGTACCGAACTCAATTTTTTGTGATTTCCTAAACCCTAGAAGTTTTCTTCTTAAAGATTCGTTTGTTGATATAAAGCGAAAGCTACTGGAGCCTCGCATCGACATGAACTATTGCTTCTTTACCCCCACAAGGATGAAGCAGCCCAGTTGGGCGGGACCGCACAGCAGGAAACCATTGACTGGTGTATGGTGTATTCGAGTATGTAGACCTCAGGAAATAATCTTATATAGTTATTCCGTTAACAGTCAAGTTCCTTCCGTCAAATGTGACACTTTTTTAAGTTTTCCACCTCGTCAGCACCTGCCTTACATGTTTCGGCTCACCACGGAGCCATCATCAGAGGCATTTATAGTAGAAAAAGAAATCACCAACACACAAAACTTCACTTTGTCCAAGATAGCCACGTTCCAGTTAATTAAAATAATTACAAATAGTTAAAATTACCCAGAATGTCGGTTCACTAAAAGTTTTTCACACACCACAGTAGCTTCCTTATTTGATTCGTCGTTAATTCTGTAAAATTATGTTTCGTTATTTGAAGTAAGAATTCTTAAAATCTCTAGAATTCTTTCCCGCTTGGCCCAGTCTTTTTGCTTCGGGATGTTGTTAACGTGTGTTGTCTGTCGGTAGTTGATGTTGCTTGTCTGTGTGTTGTGATGCTTGCGAAACATGTAAGGCAGGTGCTGACGAGGTGGAAAGACCTTAAAAATAGTTATTCCGTATTTGTATAACAACAATATTCCAGCTGAAGAGAGGTTATTTCTCATGTTATTCTAGTCATATGAAACAAAACTGGGGCATGTTGTAGCGCAGGTGGTTGAGTCTCTATGTTTCAAGCCGGAAAGTCCCGGGTTCTTTTCCTGATGAAGTCATTGAATTTTTCAATTGACCTAAGCCTATAAGAGAAATGAGTACCAGGAATCTTCCTGGTGGAGTAAAGGGCGACCGAAGCGTAAGGCTGACAACCTTACCGCCATCTGTGAGCCGACTGTCTAGAAAAAATGTGGAGGCTCGACGTCTCACAACCCTATGGGCTTTTACTGCCTGTTACAGGGATAGCTTTAATTTTTTTTTGTATAAAATAAAATTCCTTCAAATGCGCTGTGAAGAATCTTATGAATACGAACCGGTGAAGACTTGGAAAGAGGTGATCGTGACATGTTTCGAGATACAGTCCCGGAACTCGCCTGGAGAGTCGGAGGAAAACCACTAACATAGGGTAAGAGGTATCGTGCCTGAGATTCAAATTGAGTGGATATTTCAAATGTGTCATTCTCTAAATTCTGAGTCCTGATCTCCAAAAGTAAACCGTCGAGTTCTCAAGGATTATTAAATTACATTTTATCCCTCACAGTTTCGACAAATCGGTAATTGGTAACATAAGTGTTTTCAGAAAATGTAGCTGAAGTATTTCCCAAAATTTCCTTCACTCAAAATTCAATTTTCTACTTTGGTGTAAATATAGAGATGTCGCAAAGATGTTTAGATTGATATTACCACCGTACAGCCTGATACTTTCCTTCAGCAATGTGCAGAACTGTACTTTTGCCCATCGGCAGAGATGCAGTGTCGCGTATATTTATGTACTGGTTCAGCAGACTTTGGTGCAACGAATGAGAATTCCTGCCTTAATTCATTTCAGAACCTAAACCCTCAACCTAAGATTTATAAAACAAAAAATGAAACAGGAGGAGAATAGAAAGAAAATCGAAAGTTATGATATGAAGGAATATAAGCGAAAGAATGACAAAAAAAAAGAACAAAAAAAAACTTAAAGTAAATCTATCCTTGTAACAGTGTATGGAGGTCCATAGGGTTGTGAGCTATCGAGTCTAACATATTTTCTCTAGACAATCTGCTCACACATGACGGTGAGGTTTTCAGCCTTACGCGCCGGCTACCCTTTGCCCCCAGGAAGATTCTTGTTACCCATTTCTGTTAGAGGCTGAGTCGACTCAAGGATTAGTTAAATTGAAAAATCCAGTGACTACATCGGGAATCGAATCCATAACCTCCCTACCCTGTACTCTTAGCATATTACCTCAACCAACTACACTACCGCTTGCCCCTAAGAAGAAAACAATTATTAAATTTATAGCGTAGTCAAATTCGGGCTCTGAACCCCTTTGTCTCGACCTCTATTACCTACCTGCTTTATTCTAACAGCAATTTCGAAAGCCAATCATTGAGAATTTCTCTTGAAGGGTGTAGTTTCATGTTTAAGTCCAAGGCAGGATTGCAGTGCAAGACACAAAAACTTGACGTCTGCAGTTCATGAACCTGAATTTAAATAACGTTGTCCTAAGGGATAGTTTTGAAAGCCGTAATAAACTTACGTAAGGTAAATCATGGATACTGGATACTCCTACCTTTATATAGGTTATAAATATCAAAAGTTTTCTGTGTTATCTGCTTGCCCAAACTTTAGTATGTTTTTGCAAGCATGAAACTCGAATGTCGCACGTTCACTTTCACAATCCATAACATTATAAGGGTTACCTTCCTTGCAAACCCGAGGGATATAAATGTCGTGGAAGAAACTTTGCCAATCGGGAACAGGCATGTTTGAAATTTATTGCTGCAAGTCTGCCGGATCAACTGTTTGACTGTTGTAATGCCACAGCTGGGTGGTCGCCACGGGGCAGTCCTGCTTATAGTGATATATTAGTCGCCGCTACTCGGAAAGTTCTCACATTGTGAACTTCAAAATATTTATGTGTACATGTTGTTCCAAAATATATGCACTTGGAGACATCAGCTCTATACCCCATGACTGGCTGCATGCCAGAAGGGCCTGACTCGACCTCGGAAAATAAAACTATTCTTTTGTAATATCTGTCTTAATATTATCTTTTTGTCAACGCCCAGCCATATGAAGAAGTCGCCTCCCTCTTACTATCTCGAGCACAGCTTTATGTTTTGGCGTATAGAACCATCTAGCGTATAGCGCGGCCGTCGCGTAAGGCTAACAACTTCACCGCCATCTTTGAGCAGATTGTCTAGAAAATGTGGGAGCTCCGATGTCTCACAACCTATAGGCCTTCACGGCTTGTTACAGGGAAAGATTTACCTTTTATCTTTTGCCGGGACTCGAACCCATTGCCGTTGCTACGTTTAAATAATATAAGTCTATATCCAAGGATAACGTACAGTGCAGCGCACACGTTACGGACTCGATTTTGTGCAGGTGATTATAGCATCCAGTTCTTCTGACACAAGTAGTTGGTGCAGCAGTAAAACTCTAGCCTTATACGCGGAACGTGCTTGATTCGAATCTCCACCAGGAGACAGTAATATTTTTTATCATATATTTTCAAGTGACTCTAGTCAGATTCCGAGATGATACCTCAGTTGGGTTAGGACCGCTTCCTTCTAAATCCTTTCCAAGTTGGTAATTAACAATTTTGCCATTCTACACTCTGCGGACTTTGATGTCGAGAGTTTCGTTCAGGAGACAAAAATAGGCCTACTGGGGTCGGATATTTTGTTGCTTGCAATTGTAAATACTGTCACGTGTGTGACTATAGACAAGGTTTAGATTGGTAATTTGATTTATTGACCACTTACAAATATTAACTAGTGCAATTAACTATAGCGCTATCGTTAATTCAACCACTCTGTAGTTCACTACAGCACGCACTGAGTCCTCTTAGTCTGCTGTGTCTTCACCAGTCGTTACCTGGTAACGACTTTCGAGGCTTCCGTCTTCACGTCCTTTTTGGTAGGCGAATGTCTCACAACTAACTCCTACTTTTATAACTGCTGCCTCGAGACCCTAAACTCTCAGCTAAGTCACCCATTAACCAATTTATTTCAATCCATGGCACTCATGTAGCCTCGACACGGACAGCATAGAAAACACCTCTGCCACCAGTTCCTGTATTGTTGCGTCACGTAGCTGTCACACGGACCGCTTCCCAGTTAGTCCATTGGTGCGTGACAGAATCTGATGCATAGAAATGGGCGTGGCTTACAGAATCATTGCTTAGCAACGGGTCTGCATGCTACAGTGTGTTAGACATATTAATGTTTTCATATATCGAGAATGTAATTATATTTTACATTGATAGGTACTCGTATGCTTATAAACTTACGTGTAAATGTAAATAAACTTAACTGACTTATCGTTTATGTTTTGTCCTTCTTTCGTCATTTTGCTGCTGTTGTTTTGTATTGTTTCTAACTCTGTAAATAAATGAAGAATTAAATTAATTTTTTTTTGTCATTTTTCGGAAGAAATTTTTATTTACGCATAGATTTTGTGCGTTCTCTGTATTCGTAATTTGTATGTGATTGTAATTTTTTGGCGTAAATAATCCGATATTTGTGTCAAATTTCATATTACTGCCTCCGATTGTCCGTTACTTATCTTTTTCAGATTCAAAGAAAAATTAACTTTTTTTTTTCGCATGGACACAATCTTGTTTTTGTGTACTTTTAGTGTAGTACACAAATTATCTTAGTAGTTGCTTGTGTGTTTTTAAAAAATATAATAGTACATAATCTGAACACTCTGTATTATTAAGTCGAGTATTTTCTTCTTTGCTTCACAACTTCGCTCTTCCTGCACTGTGTAATTCTAATTGCAGAGAATTTAAAAGTACATCAATAAGATGGCCTCCAACATCGCGACTTTCCTATAGAGGATCTTTAAGAGTCGGTAAATTACGAAGATGTGGACACATCCATGGTGAGCTGACGCTCCTACTTGCCTTCTCTGAGAAATAGGAGTATATTAAAACGCCCAGATTTGACTACGGATTCGCCAACGCTGAGACATTTCGTTTCTTAGAGACTTAGGCGTTCTTTCTCATACTTCATTCAACAGCGCAATTTCGTTTATATCTTTCTATGTTGCCACCTATTCATGTTGAAACTTTATATAAAAAATATTTTTATTGTAAAAACTTTACTCCTTCTACTTATTTTATACTTTTTTCTCTCTATAAAGATTCTTTGTGTATATTTTTAGCTGTAAATTCACATAAAAACCTCTTCTTTTGAAATAAAAAATACGAAAGTTACGAGTTGAAGCAACTGGGAAAGCAGGCCGTGTCTTCGCAAGCCTTTCCAAACTACTCCAGCCTCTCTTACTTATTCACATTCCTTGCCATGATCCACATTCAAGAATGACTCCAACATTGCCTTAAGTCCTGCCTATATATTGTATATTATCACGTGTTACAGTTACTATAGAACGTGTTTTGGTTTGGAGATTGAATTTATTGGCCACTTTAACATACAACTCGTGACTAAACTTGATTATAGCACCATCGCTGATTTCCACACTAGGGCACACAGATTAGTGTTGTCGTTTTGTTACAGTTCCCCCCTAGTCGTTCCCTGGTAACGGTTTCTAACAGTTGAGATTCTTCAATTCCACAGACATAGTCTTTTCTCTTCTCAGATTTCCTTAAATATGGCCTGTGCTTCAGCTGAGTAACTCCCAGAATGGCGGACATACCAACTTCCTAGTCTTCTCTTCGCAGACTGACTTTCAAGTGACTAAGCTCAGACTCATACTTAAGGATACGTTACGAACAACGGTCAGTCAGCCAGTCTTTTTGGGAATAAAGCACCCATCTGGGGCTTAAGACAGGATCTTTATTACTGTCAGACAGTTGCAGGCTTGTTGACGTGGGGCGCTCTCTCTGACGAGACGACGGGACTGTTCTTTGCCAGTGACTAAGCTCTAAACACACCATGTAGAAAACAGCTCTTCTATTCTCGTAGTTCAACTGCTGCTGCAGAGACTTATTTGCGGTGATGTTGCGTATCAACAGCCGCGGCGCTGACTACAGAAAACACCGCTTCCAACAGGTCATCTGTTGTTTCGTGTTGATGTGTTGCCGTGGGAACCTGTTTGTTTGTGTTCGCTACGTAGTAACGGGTCTATACGCCACAGTATTTACTTGTATGTATATATTTTCCTATACTTAAGATTTACCCGCCTCTATATTTGTTTGGTAGCCTCAAATTCTTTTTTTGGAAAGCCGGAAATAATCAGTTTAAACTATAGAAGGATTCAGGATGTTTATTTGACAGTGTTGGCTTGATCCAGCTGTTAGACTTGACGGCCGAAAATTCGGAATGCAAATCCAGGCTGGGTCAAGAGATTCTTTTCGTCACTGCAGCGTCCAGACCTGCTGCTGGGCTCACCCAGCCTCCTAGCTAACAGTTATCGGAGGTTGTGTTTACAGTAGTAAAGGAGCTAAAGTGTGGGATTGACCATTCTCTTCCATCTAATGCCTTTGTTAATTACTGGAGCTGTACCTCCAATACACCAAACGTCTTCATGGCGTTGTTCTTGATTAAGCACAGGAACTACTTTACCTTCATTATTGAAAGATGTATACGACGCTAGTACATAGGTGATTATGAAGTTCGGGAAAATCCCGACATTTCGGAGGAATATTTTCGAAATACATCGCTTTACAACCCATAAGACCGTCCCCTCTGACGTTTCGCACGTTACCAAACACGACCTAAATATAAATTTATAATAATAATGTTTGATCGAGTTATTTCTTGCATAACAAAAGACGAATTCAAATACTTAAGGAGACATGATTGCAAAGCATCTGATATGTGAAGAACGGTACGTAATATCACTTGCTACGAGTAGACACGGGACTATCGACTGGAACAAACTGAGTAGGTTGCACCTGGAGACGGAGACAGAATCCAGTCTCCGAAACGTCGCGTCTTAAATAAAAACAGAACGATGGATTAATGTCCAGAAAAACAATAATTATATTAATATATCTTCGTCACAAAGATCTTACTACACACGGAGTTTGGATCGGTAATTTGAACCCTTATATAACAGTTTCAAGGTTCTACGCACTCTACTGATTACTCTAATGCACCATACATACAGTCTTATATGTTTTCGCCAGTCGTTGCCTGGTGACGGATCCTAGCAATGGAGTTTCCTCTGCTTCCGTGCTCACGTAGTCTCTTAACTAACTCATGGCGGTAACTGAATCCGGTGCTCTCAGTTTCCTCTGCTAATATTTTTTGTAGAGACGACGTAATCGGAGCCAAGAACGCTCTCCGTATTCATATTTTGATATTTTGTAATTGTTAATACTACACGCATTACTGTTATTATATGTGTATATGTTTGTATGAATATACAATTATTCTTTCACGCCGCACAATGGCATAACCATTGCAATTGAACTTATTTTATTTTTCTCATCTGTTAATGATAGCTTCTTTTTGCGGATGCATTATTATTATTATTATACGTATTAAGAGAAATCGTCTCGATGCTTTCTTTCTTACTCAAGTTGACTTTCGCTTCAAATTCTGCCCTTCCGTTTTGGAAACTGTTAGCCTCCGAGTTCCTGCTCGGTATGTCAGAGACTGCATTGTTCAGTGTTGCTCCTCATCTAAAAATTGTCCCTCTGCTAGATGTGCAGCAGTTGCTAATGTTGTTTGGAGGGATGTTGACGTGTTCTGAGCCAGGAACGTAATCCTTAATCGTTTTTATGATAGTCTATAATTGTTAGTATTATTATTGGCACGTACATAAACTAGAATTGAATTGAATTATTATTATTCTTTCTAAATATTTATACTTTACGTTTTTCAATTCTCAAAAGTAACTCAGACTTGTGTTAATTAACTTATTATTATTATTATTATTATTATTATTATTATGTCTTTGTTTTTTACTTCTCTGCATTAATGCGTTTTTCTTCCATTGCTTACCTTTCATTTGTCTTCGACTTTATATTGTGTTTGTCCATAAAGTAATTACTTTTATCTACATTGTGCTGTGTCTGTAATTGACCTTGTGGCTGTTGGCTCGGCACATTAATAATAAATATTTAAATTGAATTATATAAACTTCCTTATTTTGCGTTTCGTTTCTACTTTTTTTGTTTCTTTCTACGTAATCTTTCAGACTTTATAATTTTCTCTGGGCTGTTAAGTTTGCATGTAAATAAACAAGAATTGAATTTAATTGAATTATTATCATAATTTGTATTATTTATGGCTATTATTGCTTGCATGAAATGTACGTAATAAATTCATAATTGTGCTATAGAATCGGTCTCTCCGAATGTTATATCTCACCCGGATTTAAGTTAAATTTTGTATTGGGAGTTGATAATAAAAGTTTTTTGGCGAATTTGTTTTGTATTGGTTTGCTGTGACATCTGCATTGCACGTAGCGAAGTAAACTTTGTAGATTTTTTTCAGAAACGGCTTGACATGCAGTATGATCACACAATGTGACCTGTAGCTTTATTTGGAGAATTTTCCGATGATTGACGAACCAGGATACAAATAATTCTGTCTCCGTACATTCTACCCCTCGCAGTGAAATTAACTTTCAAGCAACTGTTCCACTGATTTTGTGCTATTGATTGTATTTACTGATTTCAGCTTACATGATTCACTCTTGACGCTGATTTTCCCTGGGTCTTTGCAATATGTGAATGTGTGCAGCATTCCGACGTTTCGATGATACATGTCGACTCCATCTTCTGGACCTAAGTGTGTAGTGTGAATGAATTTTATTGCTCTCTCCTGTTAACGTTAACTTTAATTTTACTTGGAATTATTATTAATCTATTCTCATTATGTAGACTCTTAAATTTTGTATCTGTTTTTCTAATTATTTTTATGTAATTCTAATTTAGAAAGCAGTCTTCTGGGATTTGGCACCGTGTATANTACTCATGCCAACCTTGTAATTGGCCTCTGTGCTGTTAAGTTGCACGTAAATAAACATGAATTGAATTGAATGGAATTAGGATGTTGAGCTGCCACACGAATAAATAAGAATTAATTGTTATTATTAACTTCTATGTTTGTATGAATGCGTATTGTCCTTTCTCACCACATAAGTTAACAACCATTCAAAATGTACTTATTTTATTTTCCTCGCCTGTCAATGCTAACTTTGATTTTTCTGGAATTATTATGAATTTATTGGCCTTGTATAGACTGTCGTATTTTGTACTTTGTTCTTTAATTATTTTTGTGTATTTCTATGTGCTGATAAGTTCGCCCGTAAATAAACACGAACTGAATTATTATTATTGTGTTGTGTTTTTCCAGTACGTAACTACTTTTATCTGCACTGTGTTGTGTCTGTAATTGGCCTTGTGGCTGTTGACTCAGCACAAAAATAATAAATTATTATTATTATTATTATTATTATTAGTAGTAGTAGTAGTAGTAGTAGTAGTAGTACGTTGTGCCTAAAAGAAGACACTTTCAAGAAACGAAAAATTTGTATTTACGAACATTGTAATGGCTAATAAATTTCGACTCCAGATTTATTTAACGATATATCTTACGCAAAAATAAATTCACCTTACGAAAATTCAATTTAGTCATTTCAAAGAACGCAATATGTTCGTAAGTTGGAGTTCTCATGTGTTACCTTTCTTGCTGAGATGTTGAAGATATGTACATGACGAATACTACTGCCATTTGGGATGTGACGCCGTGTAACCTGGTAGACGTTTATTGACGTTTCGGAAGAACTTTCTACCTCCATCTTCAGGCTACATGTAGTCACGTCCCAGAAGCCGGTACCCTTTATGATCACTATCGTGAGTGGTCTAAATCTCACATGATATGTCAAATTTATTTGTACCTGAAAGGTTTATTAACAGAAGTGTCCCTTATCAAGAGTCTGTTAAATCGTATCCTTTCACTTACCTCCAGTTCAATATTTTAAGCCCAATCTATGCTTTGTTATTTCGAGTGGACTCTTTCGATCAGTTTTCAGACTAAAATTATATATGCAGTTCTTGTTTCCTTAAACATGCTATGTGTCACCTAAATTTCATCATTTTAGTGTTATATATAAGTTTCAGGGGCGTGACCATGGACGGAGTTTGGATTGGTGAAATGATTTATTGACCTCTTGGCAAAGGGACATACACTAGGCCCTCTGTCAGAAGAAGGCAGGCTCTGTTGAAATTAAACAGAGACCAACGAAGACGAGTGATAGGTCTACACTGTCACCTAAAAGGGACACCTTTTCAAACTGGGATTGACAGGTGACCCCACTTGCGAAATGTGCCTAAAAGAAGACGAATCAGCCACACACACCCTATGTGATTGTGTGGATATAGCTACTTTAAGATTTCGTCACCTGGGCCAGTTCTTTATGGAACCAAGCGACTACTATGACGCCCCTATAAACAAATTCCTACATTTCATTCAAAGTGTAGGATCGATGAAGAGTTAATCAAAGGGGAAGCACAATAGATTGTTCAAGGTCGCGGTGCAAGGGCCGGATTATTATGGCTCACCCCTCATACATTCATTATTTATCACTTACAAACGCGAAGCGGAACTCATATTACGGTGCACAGAGATATTGGGTTTTTGGACTTTATCCATCGTCCTGGTTTTAAGATAACTAAGAAAAACACGACGTTTCGGAAACTGCATCTGTTTCCGTCCTCAAGTGAGGGAAAACACCTATTATGTTGGGTCCCTTAGAAAGAGCTAGCCTCAATCACTGGACAACCGATATCCCAAAACACAAAGGTTATAAACATCTGAGACCAGGCCTGAAACGACTAACGATTAACTCGAAAAATATATCAGGGTAGTCCACCGGCCATAACCTAATTACAAGTCATAAAGGCGTCAGAACTTGGACCAACTTGCTTGGTTCATTCCATCAGAGTAGCTGAAGAAGGCCACAAATGCTCTATCAGTCTTTCATTTCCGCCGGTGAAAATGCGAACCGGATATCTTCTGAATACAAATCTATAGTAGAGTATCACGTGAAGCAACTTGTTCTATGTCTGTTTTCTAAAGGAACAAGACATAATACAAATCAGAAACCCTACTTCTTGAGTCAATTTGCTCACTTCAGAGAGCACCATAATTCTTTTAATTCGTCTGTCACTTGCTTTTCATGCAATTCCTTTCGAGGCTTTTAGCTACGAAAAGGGACGTTAAGTTCACGATGGAAGTTTATTTAGTCTCTCTCACCTCTTGGCTTAATAAAGTTCAGTAAATAAGAAAATAAATGAAAACATGGAACAGGGGAGAATTTTTTATAATTCTAAATGACAAATAATTAATTAGGCGAAGGTAATTATCACCATTTGTTACGGGTGAATGTCCCAGACCAGTACGATTGAAGATAAAACTCTGTGATTTCATTCATTCATAAAACTTATTTTCGGATCCGTTGACATTTCGAGTTGGAAGCTAATGAGGTTCTTAAATTGTCTTTTGTATATGCACAATTCGCAACCAACTGCATGTTTACGTCTGACTTCAGCAGCGTTCAGAAGGCCAGGAAAGTGTAATTAGGAAACAACGAAAAATATAAGCAACTCTATGGTGCAGGATTTCCTTCCCACATTTGGTGGTCATTACAGTGAACAAAATAAGGGCTATTCCAATTTATGGTCCTTGTTTCCGTCTATAGGCCACGGAAACCCCGACAATAATTTAGAATCGCCCTGTATTACGGCCCCCGAAGAATGGGCAACTTACGAGTATAACCCAGATAAAGAGACAGATGTACAAATACATAAGAAGCCTTTAAGGCCGTGGGATATGACGCCATGTAAGCTGCGGGTTGATCAGTCTGTTGATGTTGATAGTTGCGGTAAGAGGTAAAGTTGTCCCTGTGCTTAATTAATTAAGCAATACGCCCTGAAGGCGTATGGGGGAGAGGATGTATAGATTCTAATTTTCTTGACCTTGGCACTAGCTGGAGGTGAATGGTCGGCTTGACGCCCCGGCCGCTTTACCCCCAGCGAAGAACCCCCGATACCCATTGGATAGGTAGGAAGTTCGGTGGATTCCAGAGCAGGTATGGATGACGCGGAGAAAATTCTTGACCATACCGGGACTCAAAACTCCGACTCTTCGGCCGTCCAGCCCGTAGCCATACCGACTGCGCTATCCTGGCTCCTCATAGTGAGGAGGTGATGACTAATACCAGGACAAAATCATCAGTATCACGATGGACGCCATCACAATTACCAACATAACCACGAACATTTCCACGACAATTGTTTGCACCATCACCACAACAATACCACCACGGGCACAACGAGCACTATCAGCACTAACACCACGGTTACCAAATTCAGAAATTCTATTACAGTCACCATGACAGTCATTGTCACTGTGAACATAATCTTATTCAGTAGATGACCGTTACCAGGACCATCACAGTGCACCAAATGAACGTCGCATTCACCAAGAAAATCATTACGATAAGCACGAATATCAAAATCACTATCTTCTTCACAACCATCTTAATCAGTATCACCCATACAATACCAAGAGCAAGTCATCACCAGACAGTCTTCAACTTTACGGCCTTCACGGTCACAAGTACCACTATCAGAATCACATTACCATCAGCATCATCACATATGTCATCACCATCATTGTACCCATTACTATGAAACTAAGCACCATCACCATGACCATCATCAAAGCAACGATGTCTTTTTTTATTGCTAGTGGGGTGGGACTATGTCCCTTGCACTGCGGTCACTTCTGGCCTATTGTACCAGCCCCAGATGATAGGTGAGGGTGAGTGTGGAGCAATTGGTGGAATGAAGATTGGCAGGGGAAACGGAAGTACTCGGAGAAAACCTGCCCCACCGCCACTTTGTCCACCACAAATCCCAAATGTTAAGGTCTTCGTAACCACTGTGATGTTGGTTATGACGATTTCGTAGTGGTCGTGTATAGGTTGCAATCATAACACGACCGTCAAGATTATCAACACAGTCACTCTCATCACCGTGATCGCTATCATCACAACGATAATCATCATCACAATATCAATACAATCACTATATCACCACGACTAAAATAATGCAATGTACATCCAGGGACTCTCATAACCATTACCACTGTCTCTGTCAGTCACCATGATAACCATCACCATCCCAGAAGTCAGTGCTGTGATTCCATAATCATCTCTTGTCCCATGACCACCATCAAAAGCATCATCGGTGCCAAATACAACACCAGTAATAGCATTGCCCCAAACCACGACCATCATCAGGACAATCTTCATCATTACTCAAGTATCACCGGTAAATTCAGTAAGGACGCCATAAATGCCTCTTACAGTATTACCATATGCACCTATCATAAGGGATCATTCACTATCATCATGATCACTACCACCACAGCTACATCCACTACCATGTTCAAAATCAACACTGACATTTCCTTCATCAATCTCACCACCATAATCGCTAGAATGAGAAACCCCGTCATATGATCATCAACCTCAATACCAACAATATCATTACACCTATTATCACCATCACCCCAAAACATTATGAACAGTATACAATTACTTTCACACATAACCACGACTACTATGACAAGAACACCGCACATATCACTATCACCACGAGTTTCATCACCAGCGCCATGAAGACTTATGGAAGAGTAAAGTCCTTGTCCTCAGCAGTAGATAAAGGTGAGTGGGGTTCCTCACTTCCTGGCCGCTTTAGCCCCCCCCCAGAACCCATTTTAAAGGAGGTTGGGTGAGCCCCAGAAACGGTCTGGACACTATGCGACCTTGTTGGGAATCACACCCTGGCCTTCTAACCCGTCACTATACCGACTCAGCCATCCTGGCTGCTTTGCAGTCGGTCTATAGTGAACATACGTATATTGCAAACTGAAGAAGGCACAAAAGTCAGTGTTACATTAATATGATTTTTCTGGAATTATATCCGAAGATGTAGTTTAAGAGAAAGATAAAATAAATTTCTGTGGTGCTGGTGGTAAGACATCAGCTTAGTGTTCAGAAGGTCCCCGGTTCAAAACCAGTAGGATTTTTTGTGAAAGAAAAATGAAAGGAAGAAATTAGTAAAGAAGACCAACAGCAGAAGAAGTGAAGAGGGAAGAACCAGGGCGAGGTAAGATTTTTGGGGTCGCTCATTAGAACACTCGCCTAAGCGGGTATATGCTTTTGCTAAAATCCGCAAGGGATTATGGATGCGTGGGCCCACCTCCGTCCCCAACAACCCTCCCACCCTGAGGGGTCACTCGGCTATAATCACTTGAGACCAAGCTCGAGTTAACAAAAAATATGAATCAAAAATATAGCGCCATCTGTTGAACACTACTCCACAGATTGCGAAGCGTGGGACCGTACCCACGACCGCTCTTGGCGTCACGCAGAAAGTTAACTTGAGACCAAACTAAATCAGTGAGCGTTAAGAAAATATGAAATAAAACTGCAGCGCCATC